AAAAAAATCATTTTTTATAATGCAATTTGTCCCCTCTAAATTTGTCTTTGTTATATGATTCTTTAGGCAATTTGTCCCCCTCAATTAATTCTTTAGTGTTTATTATAAAGGTTTTTAGGCAATTGCCCCAAGTATAATTAAACATATTGTGTAGAGTTGTTATTGTTAGTAGGGGTGTCAATAATTGACCCGACCCGACAACCGGACCCGAACCCGACCCGAAAAATTCGGGTTAGGGTCGACCCGTTTAACAAACGGATCGGGTTCGGGTCTTAACTTTCGACCCGTTTCATAAACGGGTCGGGTCCGGGTCAACCCGGTAACCTGGAATTGACCCGGTTGACTCAGGTGCAACCTTCCCAAAATTAAAATTTGAAGTTCCCGCTATCCCTAAAAAAAAAATCAAAGCTCACATTGCTCAGTTGTTCTGACATTTCCAAAAAAAAAAAAAAAAAAATCAAAGCCCGAGGTAGGTCACCTCACCATACTCTAGCTCACTGCTCAATGCTCACAGGTCACAGCTCACATTTTTTTTGGGACATTTAGGCCATTTAAGGCAAACTCACACACACAATGCATACACAAAGACTCGAACCCAAGACCTCTTAGTTGGAAGCCTAAGCTCTCAACCAACAAGACAAGGTGAGCTGTGTGTCACAGCTCACCTTGCTCAGTTGTTTTGACATTTCCAAAAAAAAAAAAAAAATCCTCACGGTCCTCACTCCTCACATTTCTCAAAAAAATCAAGGCTTGCTACCGTTTCAACTGTCAAGCAAGGCTGCGACGCCGAACGGCGACTTGGTGCTCCGCACACGCACCGGACATCGGCTCCCGTCAAAAGCCGAACGGCGACTGCAACATCTCCGGCACCGCCAAAGGGGTTTGCGGGTCAAGTCGGGTCAACCTAGCAACCCGTGCGGGTCGAGTACGGGTTTAATTTCCTGACTCGTTAACCTAAACGGGTTGGGTTCGGGTTGACCTGTTTAATTTCCTGACCCATTAACCAAATCGGGTTCGACCCGAACCCAACCTGTCGATCCGAATTGACACCCCTAATTGTAGGGAATAATGAACCAAATAAAACGCTGCTCCTTGACCCCGCGACCTGATCAGGCAGGTCGAACCCCACCGGGAGGCGCTGCCTCTTTGGACCCGCAACATATTTGTCAATAGTTACTTATAAGTTTACCCCCCTTAAATTTATGGTTGGTTCCGCCCCTGGTGCTTCACTACAGGAAAATCATGCATTTCCGGCAGATTTTACTGCGACTTTCCGGTGGACTGATTTCCGGCGAAATTCCGACATATTACAACGAAATATTTCAGACAAATTTTTTCCAACTTTTTCGGCGGCTTTTCCGGCAGACTTTCTGACGGATTTGTTTCCGGCAGACTTTCCGACGGATTTTACTAATTTCTGTAAATTTTTTTTTGCAATTTAAATTATTAATACTTTTATAACTCATTTAATTAAATATTAATAAATAATTTATTTTAATTAATTAATGATTTCAAACCTTATTTTTAATGTAATACTTATTTTGATTAAGAATTAAAATAATAAATTATAATTTATTACTAACTTTAATATATTATTTTAAAGTATTTTTAAATAATATAAAATGTTATTAAATTAATATTTAATTTATTATAAAATTAATAACATTTGTTACTTAATTATTAATTACATAATTTTTTTAAATTATTTATTAATTCTAATATTTTATTTAAATTTATTTTTAATATTAAATTTAGGGTTAAGTTTACCGTCGAAATCATTTTCGCCAGAAATTCGCCGGAAAATTTTGAAATATGTGGGAAGATTCAGAATTTTCCGCCGGAAAATCAGCCGGTAATTCAAGATTTTCCTGTAGTGCTTTTCGGTTTTTATATGGAATGTTGATGTTAAATTATTTTTTAATTTGAAAGAAATGTTTTAACCATCCAATTGTTTGTTTTCTCCTCGTTAATCCGAACTGGATTGTGAAAGTTTTCATCAAAATAAATAAACAATGTATAGAAATATTTTTCGTACAAGTCATATAAACACAACTTGGCCAAAAAAATAATTTAATTTAATTTATTAAGGACATGTGATCTCCTCATCATAACTTGTAGTTAGAATCAATAAACATTTATTAAAAAAAGGTTTTTTGGAATCAATTTTTTGAAGAGAGTAGAGTTCTGTTAAAAAGGATTCTACTCCTAGTATTTTTATATATGGAGAGAGAGAGAGAGAGGGATAGAGAGGGAGAGAGATTAGACATGCAAGTGCTAAGATATTTAACAAATTTGAAGTGTTCAAACATTCAAAAACACAATAGAAAAGTTTGTGAATTTTTCTTTTATCCTATTAAATTAATACATTGCCCAAAAACCAATTAGTTTGAGAAAACATTTATTGCACATAGTCATAATGAGTATTTTACTTTCATTATTTTATCAGTTATTTAATATGTGAATATAATATTTAACACTATAAATATAATATCTTTGTCTCTATATTTATATGAAATATATTCTCTTCAAACTTCTTATTTAAAATTTAATAGAATATTTTGTCTTTATAAGATTGTTAGTTGATATCTCCAAATATGAAAAAGCTGTTGGTGATACTCTTTTCTGATGTTTATTCTTAATTAAATGGATTGTTGGTAGATCATTTCTATTGATTTCTCCTTTTATCTTGGCTGAAATTTATTTCAATATGCTATTACTGAAGATTTTAAATTTTTTGAGCCATCTCGGATTGTTTTACATTTGAGTGTTATGAGTTTTGGGGTTATTATGAGCATTTTTCGAGTAATTGAGTCTTTCTTTGATATAAATATAATAATTTTAAATGTTATTTTATTTGTGAAAATTGTAATATTATTAGTATAGGATGTGCAGTAGTAACGCTACTGTATATATACCACAGGCGCATAGGATGACTACCATGCATTACTGTGCTGTGTTCTGCATGTTAACGCTTAAAAAAAGAATTTGAGTTGGTGTAAAAAGGAAAAAAATAATTATTCTCATTAAGAACTGGAACAGAAAAGTTGAGAGACGCACGCTCAGGTAGATCAATCGACAATAAAAGCTGACCTAATATTAAGACATTCAGGTAGAGATCCAGAGAAAAGTAGACCTGATAAGATTAAGGAGACATCGCTTTCTGCCAGAGCTAATTAGATTTGGTGAAGACTGGAAGCGACAGCAAAGGCTTCAACTGCCAGTAATTCATTTGGTTGGTGAATTATGCTTTGTCAGCTGGGTACCAACGCAGCTCATTTTTATCCGTTTGCTAATTTATTTGTTTGCTTAGGAGTTCTAGCTATCAATTAAGAAGTTTTGAATTCAATATTTGCATATATAATATCAGTGAATTTACTTTAATGAACTCTAAAAGCCCAAAAAAAAAAGCTGGGTACCATGATGGCAATAAGGACCCTAAAGCTGGAAGTAGCAAATCAGATTTCAAAGACGATATAAAAATATGAACTTTATGAGTCGTATTGGCTGATAAAGTTCATATTTTTATCTTTTAGAGAGAGAGAGAGAGAGAGGCGCTTATACATGCTCTATACAGCACTTTTCACATCTTGATCATATTCTGAACCGACTTGGGATAACCTCTAGCTAGAAACCTTGCTTTTGAAGATAACCAATATTCTATGATAATTCTAAATTT